CCGACAGACAGACAGGTAGAAAGGCAGACAGACAGGAAGAATAGAGAGAAGGGGGACACTGCTTTTAAGCTCTCGCACCGTTCGGGTGCATGGTAAATCAATATTAAATTATGACCAACCTACCTACTTCCTTTGGCGCCTTTGCGCAGCAAAGAAATGATTTATTCAGCGATTTCTTCGTTTCTATACAGTAAAGAGAAGCAAACTGTGATAAAACAGCCGTTATTAGTGGAAGGAAAAGGCACGCAGACAGACAGAAACAACAGAGGGAAAGAAAGAAAAGGTAAGGCCTACCACACAACCAGTAGTGCCATCCAAGCACTATTTGTCATTGTATGGCTTTTGCTTGGTATGGATCACCTTTTTCAACACTGTTAGGGTTAATTGATAAGCACCACCTACGAATGTAACACCCATCTCTGCTGATAGGACACGAATAAGTAGGCGGTGTGTTGGATACATTTCGCCGAGCAATCGGCGTCCCTCCCCAAGTGATATGTCATGCTCGCCGTGTGAAATTATGTATTACAAGGGAAGCTAGCCGACATTTTCAAACATGCTTAAAATTTTCGCCCAGCGAAAAATGAGTCGCCGAGTCAATAACTCGCTCGGGGAAAACTTGGAGAGTGTCAGAAATAGCTCGATGTGCAACTTTGCATACGTTGCCGAGTGACAGTAGCAGTTAAATATCATACTCTGCGAGTTAAATTATTGCTCGCTGTAGTAAAAAATCTTGCACTTGGAGTCTTGAGTTACTCAAGCATGGCGTGCGAATGTTCCTGAAGGATGCCATATCTTCAATTTGCAGTTCAGCCTTCAACTTCTCAAACTATCCTTACAGCGGTCTTCTTATGAGTCATTGTCTAACCCAACAGGTCGTCCTCCTGCCACTCTTCCTCCTCTTCTTGCACCAGCACAACAGCAAGGGCACCATAATATGTATACATGAAGTACACTTTATGTCTGTGTCATGTGAAACACGTTGAAGGAATGAGCACAAACATTTTGCCCCCCCCCCCCCCCCCTTTATATATTTAACATTGGACGCCGACTTACTCGGCGACGGGTCGTCAAGGTGGTCGGCGAGTTTGTCGTCGCGTGAAATTTTACTCGGCCGCTACGTTTCTTGGCTCTGCAAGCGGCCAGGGTTCAAACTAACTGCTCGGAAAAACGCTCGGCGAGACGCTCACCGCACTAAATTATTGGGTTCCCTAAATTATTATCGCTCGACAACCGTCTCCCCGAGTGCTCGCCGACACCATAATGCCAACAGTCATGACCAGATGCTTGTCACGAATTTGTCATTGTCTTATCGGGAATTGATCGTCGACTCTTCTCCTGTATGTGTGAACATCGCATAAACCAAGTTCAGAACACCGTATTGGTGATTCGAACCAGGTCCATCCGCACCAAAAGCCCAACATAATAAAACAAACTGAGACTGAGACAACGGTCTCTAAAATTACTTCAGTGTAGTCCCATGGGTCTCAACTCAGAATTCTAAAAAAGGAGGAACTTTCCGGGTGATCGCCACAGAAGCCCATTTTCGCGAAACACCTATTATCATTATACTGTTGAACCCTAGAATGCAGAAATAAAAACCATCAATTTATCAAAGCAAGGTTATTTCACACCGATATGAGGGTCTGAGAGATAATTTCATGTAAGAGTCACGTACCAAATATTTACAATCTTGATTACGTAGAGAAAGTGGTGCCCTTCATCATATTCACCGGTATATATAAACTATATAAAAAGGAATATTGTTTTGAGCCTAGAACCAGAATATCGACTGTCATGATTCATATCATATATGTATATAGGCCAATATAATATGCGTGAAAGACAAAAATTAATGCTCAAACTCAAAGTACAGTAGAGTAGCCCAAGTAGACTTATTCAGTGTGACAGGTGTAAGAACTGTGGGAGGGCAAGATGCAGTGATACTGAACATCTGCGAATCTTGAACAGAAAGCTAAAATATACAGATTTAATTTACTGTCACCAATCCAATGAAACGGGAACACTTAGGCCCGTAAGTTCCATAACACGCTAACAAGTTATGACGGTTCCCGATTTCACACAAGGCCTGCACCAACGCACACCTTACTTTGCAGAGAGCTGTAGATCAGGTAGTAATCAAAATTCTAAACATTAAACATTTATTGCTTTCAGTTTCAGTTTATTTGTCCTCTGGTGTTGCGCCCAGCCCTCCCCTATCCCCGAGTGCATCTTTTAAAAAAAATCAATAATCTCCCCCCCCCCATTCCTGAGTCCTGTACTTCGAAGCGCTCAGAACGCGCGCAGGTTCAATGACCGGTCACAATGGCGAGCCCGACAAGACGCTTGCATAACTTTCTTTTTGGTCTTACCCCCACAAGTGACAGCACAGTGACAAATATTGATTTATTTTCATGGCGACACCACCTTTGTAGTGCCGAACCTGCATGTTACCATAAATGTCGCGTGATCAGACAATTACTGACAAACTTCTGGGTGGTAACGAAAGCGAAAGTAGATCTTGTTGAATTTCCAGTCGAGCCTTGGTGACACGATTCCGCTTGCCGCCAAAGCAACCAGTTCGCGTGAAACATACTATCAGAGCCAAATTAATATCATAATTGCGACCGGCAGAAATGAACTTAAAGACGTTATTGGATTTGGTTTTTCAAATATTCGAGATCTTTTATGTATTTTCCCGGGTCTCGGCGAATTTTTTTTATTCGGGGGGCCAGACAGTCACCCTGCTCCCTACAACTCTCTTTCTGATTGGCCCGCTGTCGCGGTAGCGGAGTTTAGCGGAGGAAATGGCGGTAGCGGAAATCCGCTAAATAGCGGACTATTGAGACCCATGTCAGTAACAAACAAAGACTGAATTAAAGGAGCTATCGATGTTATAATTATTATTGTTGCTCACTTTGCTTTTTTGTTTACTCTCTCTTCGGTTTGTTCGTTCATTTATTTGTTTGAGTACAGAGAAGCACATCAAAAAAATTACAAAGTCATTTAGTGCAGGGGGGAAAATAAGACTGATAGACAGAAACAAGAGGGAAAGTAAATTATATGTAGGACCTTCCTGTGGAGCCATCCAACCACCAACCTGTTTCTTCGTTTGTTTTTGTTTTAGTAGAGTTTTTACGGCGCTCGCAACGGCATAAGGTCATATGAGCATCAAAGGGTGGATGTCAACAGAGAAGTCCTTACAGGCAATCAGACTTACTCTGCTCACCTCTCTAGCTTCAACAGCACAAAGTCTGCTTCGACTATCAAGGCACCCCTGAAATAGAGGGTCACAAGAGTGTGACAAACATACAAAAGAAGTAGAGGAAAATGACGATAGTTAAGATTAGGAAAGAAAAAGCAGCAGTTCCCTGTTGTAGTTAAGGCACAGTTATGAGCATGACATTGTTGAATCAGCCCATTTACAATTCTACTGTGCATTAGGTAGAACGAGAAATGTCCCTCCTTTGGGAATGGCCTAAAGACACTTGTCAGTGGCACCGCCCCGGGGGGTGAATCTGATTCGTCGGCTGCCCATCGACATCTACCGTATCATTATGATGACGAAAGCAGTATGCAGGATGTAGTCTTGTACGGGCGGTGGACATGGAGGGAGTTAAGTTTTTAGTGTAAGAATTTGACGGCACTTGCATCGCAATAAGGTCATGCAAGTGCGAAGGTCAGAGGTATTTCAAAAGAGTAACAAACACAAAAAAGAGGGGAGATAATAAGAACGACAGACGTTTGATAGGAAAGAAAGAGCAAACCAAACCAGAACATCCGCCAACCACCCACATGGAGGAAGTAGATAGCCTATGTACTACTTTCATCCTTTCAGATCCTGACTTTCTTCTTGGTATACCCCAAAGGAGACACATACAGCTGTTCTAAGAAAACACTCGTGCATGATGCCGACTTCGTTCATTTTAGGTCTCGCGCACACAAGAAACAATTTTCTTCGCACTGCTGCAAGTGTGTTGTCAAGAATTCGTGGCGCAACTTATTGTCAAATATCTCCTCAACTATCCAACATAAGACTCTCCAGCGTTTGCACAATGACTTGCATCAATCTTTCTTAACAGATCAATATTTTTTTAACACCTCGTAGCTTTGTTCAAGTAAGGAAAGTCCCTTAATAAATTTATTAAATAGCCTACTAATTTTAAAAAATCCAAGTAGGTGGTTTTTGAAGGTTTTAAAAGGTTTAAAGCTGGCGCAATA